AGGGGGTCAGGCTACATGATCTGTTCAGGTCCCTCCTGACCCTAGCTACTATGAAACTATGACACTGTTTCCAGCCTCCACCTCATAAGTGAAATTATGCTGTTTAGTGAACTCATGCCATCGTGTTTAACAAAACATTTAACCAGTTTAGAAGAAATGTCAGAGGAGGATCCTCTAGTGGAAAGTACAGATGAATATCAACTAAAATTATGCAGATGCGGGGGTACGTTGGACTGAGGACATGAATATCAAGTGTGCAGACAAGTCTGATAACCTCAGGCACAGCAACATGCGAACAACGAGGTTTCTGAACAGGACACCGTCTGATTTTTAAATGTATAGCAGAAAAATAACTAACTAAGAACATGACTAAAACTTTCAAGATCAAACTACGAATATCAAAGTATTGCTGATGGAACAAGGGCAAGGGAACATGGGGAAGGGGGAAAATAGGACCCTTTTGTCAACTGTTATGTAAACAGAAATGTTCCCATCACATTGTAATACATAGGACAACGCCCAATATTATAAAAAGAGATGCTTATGGACACTACACTTGCACCTTCGCCATAATCTCCCTGTAATCGTGTGTACCTCCAGGGGCAGCTGGGTGCCCCTTAGTGTCCGGGCTGCGCCTGGCTGCCTACTCTGGCTCCACTCTCTCCTGCCTGTCACCTTGCTCTCTAATTGAGATCTCAGGAGGCTGTCTTTAGGCAACAAAAGCCTAGGCTGTAAGTACTTTCCTTCCCCCTGGCTACTGATCTCCCTCTATTCCTCACCCCTTCTCCGTCTGTGGGTAAGGTTCAGCCCCAGTCAGGCTCCAGCCCCCCTTCATTTAGTCAGGGCTCTGGTCTGTCTGGGCTCTGACCCTCTCCCAGGCCTTATTCTGCCTGCCTCCCACTCTCAAACCAACAAAAGAAAAAAGAAGCAGAGACAGAAAAAACACAAGGAAAGACTGCAGGGTACTGGGTATTCTGCTCTGCAGCCTTCATACCTTCCCTTATGGCTATCCAGGTCCATCAGGTGTTACTACCAAAATGAGCAAAGAAAAAAAATGTGAAAAGCAGACCCATATCTCAGAAACAGTCCTTGGTTGTCAGGGTGCACCCATCGCCCGTGCCCTTCCTGGGTTGACACAAGTAGTTCCCAGCCTCTTCGGCATATTGATCCCCTAAGACTCCCCAGGAGATAACCTAAGAAGTTCTCTGTATGCCCTCCTCCCCAGGGCCCTCCCACAAGGCAGCAAACAAGATCCCCTCTGATCTTTCCTGCCAGGCATTTGCATTTTCACAGACCTGCATTTTGCATATTGGCTTACCGTACTTCAGTGTATGTGTGGGTCTGACCCCCAAAATTTACTCTTAAATTTCTGCCTTAATTTAGAGACTGTATCTGGGGACGTTGGATTGCGGCCTTGGGAGCTCAGGTAGCACCTGGCCAGGTAGCAGCTTGCTCAGCTGGGCCCAGGGGCACCACCGCTGCAGAAGGAAGGACCAGGGCCCCTCACAGCTCAGGGGCTGCCCAGTCCACTGGCAGCTTGCCTGCCCCCCCACCCCTCATGGCTGGGGGTCATGCAGGCACCATGGAAAGCAAGGTTGGGCCCCTCGCTGCTTCTGCCTTCAGCAGGCTCCTGTGGCTGGTAGGACACCTGGCGCTGCCCGGGAAGGGGCTGCCTCACCCCATGGGTGGCGGGGGTGGGGGAGCTAGGGGTGTCGAACAAGGCCAGGTGTTGGGCAGGGCCAACCTCCTCCCCAGCCCCTGTGGCGAGGAAGCCCCTTCCCAGGTAGCTCCAGGCATCCTGCTGGCTGCAGGAGCCTGCTGAAGGCAGAAGTGGTGGGAGGCTCAATCCTGCTTTCAGCATGGCTAAGGGTGAGCTGCCAGAGGGCTGGGCAGCCCCTGAGCTGCAGGAGAGGGCGCTGGTCCTTTCCTTCATGGTGGTGGCGCCCCCAGGGCCTGGCTGGGTGCTGCCCAAGCTCCTAGGGGCCTGATCCTGCTTCCCCAGAGCCTGTCAGTACACAAGGGCCTGATCCTTTTCTTGGTGATGAAGATCAAGAGGGGGGTCGGACTCGATGATCTTGGGGGTCGGACTCAATGATCGGGGGTCGGACTCGATGATCTATTGAGGTCCCTTCCGACCCTAACATCTAACATCTATGAATCAAAGCCAAGATCGACTTATACACCAGATACATGAAAACCCTAACTTTTTTGATCAAGTTTGGGGTTAACTTATACACTGTGCCGACGTATACACCACAAAATATGGTAAGCTTCTATCTGACCCAAGAGAGTACACAAACACTGGCAGACTCTCCCTTTGCCTGAAAATGGGTGTTTGTGCCTAAATGCTTGTAAATAACATTTTTTTCAGCTCTTCAGTTGGTCTAATAAAATACATCACATTTACCCAAAGAACTTTGTCTGCCTTATAATATTAATTAACCCAGTCAATGCATCTCTTCCTTAAACTCTCCACCCCATAAAATTAACCACTGATGTAGCTGCATTGCTGGCAGAAACCGAGCTGTGGCTCTAACCTCTATGCTATCACATCCTGCACTGATAAGGTCCAGATGATATGGTAACTAGCAGTCGGAACAGTACCTACATTAAGCACTACCACGCTCAGATTTTTCACAAAAGCCTAGAATGGATAAGCCTAGAAATAAACATGCCATTATGTAATGGTGACTTCCAGATTATCAGCAGCATTGTTCACAACAGTTTCATGCTTCCTTTACACTCTGTGGCCACGTCTACACAAATGCTTACTGCACTATAGCGTCACCGGGCACGAACTGTTATTGCACAAGCAATAATGCTGGTTACTGCGCAGTCATTTAGCACTTGGTTATGCAAGTACTAAATGACTGCGCAGTAACAGCCGTGCAGTGGGTGGCTTGTGTAGACATGCTCAGTATGTATAATTACAATCAATACTTTTGATAAAATAATACTGCTCCACTGTGTACTTACAGTTACTGGTTTAGCATCTTTAAAGAGGCCTTAAAAGGATTATGTAACGCTTGCACAACTTATTACTCTGTGCCGTCTAAAAATATTAATAAATAAGATTTATAAACAGTCTAGATAAAAATAATTTCTTTAGTTATTTAGCTTTCATTTTCTTGCCTCCTGTGCCATCCTCATTAGCTCTACCACCTTCAAGTTTCCTAGGGAAAACCAAGATATGCAGGAAAGAAAACAAGCAGATTGTTTGGGGAACGGATGAGATTTCCGTTAGCGCGTTTTGTCTAGCATAAAGTGTGATTAAAAGAACAACCTCCCCCTTCTCAAACCCACTTCTGGTAAGCAACCCTTTTAACATTTTTTAAATAAATGACTATTATTTTTTTCATGTGATGCCTTTACAGTGGCTACTTTATGTACAAGGTGGGAACCTAATCCTGAAAACAAACAAAAAATACTTACAAATATGTAATCCTCACAGGGTTACTCATATACATTATATCCCACATTTGTATTTGCAGAAATAGTGGTTATATCTAGATTTATTACAGGGTGAAATCTTGGCTCAGTTGAAAGGAACTGTAAAACCTGTACTGATTTCAATAGGCCAGGATTTCACCCAAGCAAATCATCTACACATCAGGTTTCTAAATACCCACCTACCCACCTAACTCCTGTCACTCGAGATTTAGCTTTGGTATAGTTTATTACACATTTATTCTCTGCAAGACATTCTTAGCACAGTTAATAGTTTATTACCAATGGCCATTTCCATATTTTTTTCTCTTTCAAAATACAAAAAAGTGCTTAAATACTGACAATAAATGGAAGAAAAAACCCAAACCAAAACCTAAATTCTACTTCCTCTGCAATAAATGTTCTGAAAAACAAATATTAGTAAAATACATAGAAATAACTGAAAAAGTTACAAATCAACACTGAACAAATAACATTTCAATAGATTTAAAATCCTGCT